CCTGTAGCCCCAGCTGTCCTGGAACTATGTAGACCAGGCTGGCCTTGAATTTACAGATCCGCCTGCCTCTGCCTCCCGAGTGCTGGGATTAAAGGCATGTACCACCACGCCCGGTTCTGTTAAATTTTTATGAGTAAAGTGGGATCCAAGAGCTTTGCTCTCTTGACACACATTTTTGGAACCTGTTACCAAATCTTTTCACCAGAAATGTCTGACTCTAACATGATAGCTATTAAGTATTGTAACACAAAAGTATTTTGTTGGGTGTTAATCAGCATAAAAACAAAATCATTATGTTGCCTTAAAAGTTGTAAAACTTTATTGGGAGAACTTTTGTTGTTTTTTGAGACAGGGTCTTTTTATGTAGCTCTGACTGGTCTGGAATTCACTATGTAGACCAGGCTGGCTTCAAACTCACAGAGATCTGCCTGCTCCTGCCTCCCTAGTGCTGGGAATTACCAGCTGGCCATTGGGAGAATATTGACAGTCCAGTTTCAAAATAAGAACAACCTATGTGGTTTGATTTTTGCCTTTTAAGTTTATGAGGCCCTTCAGCTGCCCTTGGCATTTTAGTTTAGGCTATACTTGGCAGATACTCTTGATATCTAGACCATTTCTGTGAAGACAGTTTATGTTGCCTTTATAAAACAAAAATCTCTTGTTTGTGTTAGTAAGTCAACATGGCTTTACCTTTTCTTGAATTCTTTGTCATGGTTTAAAATTTTAATTGGATTGCTGTGATTTACTGCATAAGCAGTCCAACAGCAAAGTTCATGTTACAAGTTTTTGGTTTGAGACTTGAAAAACCTCAAAAGAAATTTGTATGATTCAATAAATGATGATCAAGCATTACCTTGTACAAAGTAACTTCCTAGTCCCCTGAACAGGCAAAGATTCTGTTTTCAAGTGCCTTTTCCATGTTGCTTGACATCCTTTCACTTTTGGAGGAAAAAAAGTTTTTTCATAATATGCAGAAAAATGGACTCAGAAGTGTATCTTTAGTGTGCAAGTCAGGAAGAATGTTTATTGTTTTGCACAAGGTCTTGGGATTTTTATTTTTACTGCTTTTCTGGCTCTACTTTTTTTTTTTTTTTTTTTTTTTTTTTTTTTTTTTTTTTTGGTCTTTTTGAGACAAGGTCTCCCTGTAGCCCCAACTGATCTGGAACTCAGAGATCTGCCTGCCTCTCCCAAGAGCTGGGACTAAAGGTGTACATCACCATGCCTGGCTTTGCTTCAGACTTTTTAATAGTGACCAAGTAAGTTCTGATACATATGTGTATATTTTCCTTCTTGTTCATTAACATTTATGGGATCTATAAAGAATTGTAACATGTTTTCTTTACTAATACTAGAAGGACCGAAGGAGATCTTGGTAGGCATCCTGAACAGTATCACCTGTTTTGCACATGAAGAAAATGAAGCCTGGCCAAGAAAATGAGAAGGAAGTAGTAGCAGACCTTGGGAGGAAGTAGTATTTAAAATGCTGGAGAAAGGGAACACGGTACCGGGTTAAAGAATCTGCATTTCAGAGTCTGACAAACCTGGACGTGGAACACTAGGGTAACCTTGCACAAGTGACTTCATCTCTGATCTGGGTTTTCCCATCTTAGAAATAGATATCCTAGTGGTAGCAACTCACTGGGGCTTTGGAGAGGATTGAATGAGTTAACACATGGATAGCCCTTGGCATAGAGTATGGTATGTGTAAGTACTTTCAGTTGTGGTCATTAGGGAAAATTAAGTGGCATGATTTAAGTTAAAATAAAAGATAAAATGGGTTTAAGTTGGGGAGGACCATGGTTATGAAGAGGGTGTCCCCTGAGGCTTTGGATAGTTTGTTGTGATTCTTTGAAAAAGAAAAGTTGAGGGTAAAATGTAAATTCCCTTTGGCTGGAGCTGAAGTTGGAGCCTGATGGTCTGTATTTGTTGTCCACATACACTTAATTAGATGCAGGTGTGTAGGCCTTGACTTTTTTTTTTTTTTTCCCTTACAGTATAGAGGACCTTGTATTTCAGGTGAAATGATTCTAATCATTTTAGTAACTATAGTCCCTTATAGGGCAGAGACAGGTGTTGAGGGCACTGTAAATTACATCCAGTCAGAATGTTCAAGGACCTTTCATGAGGGAGACAAGTATACTTTACTGTAATAAAAGGTGGTTTTTGAACACAGGCATATCTTTACTTAAGGTAGGTACTATAGGAGTGATTAGTGTACAGAACAAAAAATTTTCCCTGTGAAGTTTACATCCCAATGAGGGTGATAAAAAGTAAATTATATAGAATGGTCAAAGGCAAAATGCCTTGGAAAATTGCATATGGGTGCTTTGCTACTGCTGAGAAGAGGTTGCAATATAAAATGGGGTAAACCTGTAAGTTTCTTTGGAGAGTGTTAGTCGGAGGCATGAAGTGGGGAGCGGCAACATTATAATATAAGCAGAATAGTTCCAAAGTGCTGAGGCAGAACTATGAATTCTGTTCAGTATGGCTAAAATACAATGGGCAAGAAAGAGTGATAGTAAATTGGTACACAGTGGGATAGGGTATAGATTGTTTTTTTTAGGAGTCTTGCTATGTAGCCTAGGCTGGCTTACATGATTTTCCTGCCTCAGCTTCCTGGTAGTTGGGACTGCAGGTGTACCCCACTATGCTTGACTGCTGTGAGTTTTAATCAGAGGAATGATTTACTTTGTTTCAGAAGGATCACTCATACTGAAGAGAGGTATATTAGTGGAAGCCTAGAGACTTGTAAAGAAGGTGATAATCCAGAAGAGAGTGGCTAGTGGCTTATACCAAGGTGGTAAAAGAAGTGTATCAGAAATAGATGAATTCTCAGTGTATTTTGAATATTAAACTAATGATTTGTTGATCAGATGTGGTGTGTGAAAGAAGCCAAGGATGAGTCTTAGGTTTTCGGTTCTGAGCAGTTAGAAATTTGCCATCTTCTAAGATAGGGATGACTCTAGAAAGAGCAACTTGGTGGATTAGTACTTTTTTTTAGGTGTAGTAAAATTGGAGATGTTTGCTAGATATTTAGGAGGAACTGTTATCCAAATCTGGAGTTCAGGGGAAAAGTGGATATAAATTTCTGAATCTGGATATGAATTTGTAGTCATTTACTTAGTGTATAGAGCAGTGACACTGGATAAGATTACTAAGGGATCCATTGTGAAAAAAATGAGAGGACCAAGAATTGACCCTTTGTTTAGTTTTTAAAGGTTAGACAGTGTCTTGATATATA